TTTCTCTGTTAATTACTGTAGACTACTAGTTACGCCTTACATTTTTATAATCTGTAGTGCTTGTTAAGCTTATAGGTGTACACCTACATACAATCTAGAATCTGCTGTCTAGCTGCCTTAATTAGCTTTGTCTAGACCTCTGTCTAGGATTTTATTATCTAATAACTGTCTAGGTGCGTTCTTTCTGCTGCCTTAAACATCTTATGTAAAGAGTGCTCCTCTAGTTGCTTTTAGGTTAATAGTAGAGGTAGTAGCTAGCTTTTATAAGGTGTCTTTCTTTTAAATAGCATTCTTATTAATGCTGCTTTATTTAGCGTCTTACTGCTATGCTTTCTTACACTTCTAGATCTTATGCTAGCTATAAAGGCTGCAGCCTATAGTACAGTCTTTAGCAACTCTATTTAGCTTAGCTTTAGTGCTGCTCTAGCTATTAACTGCATAAGCAATGCTGCAGGTAGCAGAGTGTTTAGAGAAGACAGATAGTTATCTCTAATCTTTCTTTCTTAATAGTAGCCTAGTAGGTCTACTTTGTTAAAATTTAATATATTATTTATAGTATTATCTTTATAAAATAACTCTGTCTCTAGCTAATAACTAGGTGTTAGAAGCTTAATTATTCTAATGTATGTAGTAATTTTCTTTACTATGTTATGCATAAGGTTATCTATTAGGTCTTTAGGCTTACTGCTAAAAATTAAGTATTTATTAAAAATAACATTGCGTGTACAGATTACTTTTGCTAGCAGTAGTATCTATACGCAGTAGATGTTTAACAATTAGTACCTAACTAGATATCTAATCTACGCCTTTAGGTCTAGCCTCTATAGCTTAGATTTATTCTAATGTGTGTTATTAGTTATTATAAATGCTTTATAGCTATAGGCTCTTAGATGTGTAAAGCTTAGCTTTTAAATTAACATAATAACTTTATTATTTAGAGCTGCTTATGTAAAAAAGATCTTATATAGTGTCTTCTAGTTGTTAGCATAGTTTAGTGTCTAATTGTATAGGTATACGCTAGCTCTAGTGATGTATGGCTATACGTTCTATAGTAGGTTAGCATCTAGTTGCATAGCCTGTAACTTCTTCTTGTTTACACCCTCTAAGCGTTTAGCTCCTCTGTTCTAGGCTTATGTATCTAGTGCTAAAGGCTTAACAGTTATTCTCTATAATGCTAGCTAGCGTTCTACCTCTAGTTTTACTATTATAATCTTATTATTGTAAGGCCGAGATGGCGCTTACGTGCGACAGGTATATATACTATTCTGCACCCGAAAATCAACGTTGGTTGATTATTCGTACCTTTTGGTTGTATTGGCGGAGTGGTGCGGAGCCCTGTCCTTACAATTATTAGCTTTAATAACTTTTACAGTAATGTTATAATAGTTTTTTAGAAAAAAGATAAAAATTATAAGAGCTTTAATAATTAATTTAGTAGGCCTGTTATCCTTAAAGTAGAGGTCCTACTAGAGGCTAAAATACTTGTTAGTAATTAGCATTTAACTTTACTCTTTTATAATGCTCTATGCTTTATATGCATAGAAATTAATTAATAGTCTCTTACTAGGTCTACTATTACTAATTTATAGTGCGCAGCTAATTTATTATTATATCTTAGCTCTACTACATAAGTTACATTAGACTGTTGTAATTTCTTTAATTTACACCCCCTTAGCTTACTGTACAAGGTGTTAAAGTGTAGCTAGTCTAGGGTGTTCTAGACACTTATGCTATAGCTTTACTAATGCCTTTTATAGACTACATTTAGTTCTTGTGTTAATTATGTGTGTATAATATAAGCCCTCCTATAGTAAATAGTACTCTAACACCTATTAGCTATAAATCTCTATAAGATCTCTAATTATTGTCCTATTTAAGGCCTTTAAAGCAGTTAGCTCTGCTTGTGTGTTCTACTAGATTCCTTTCTGTCGCAGTAGGCAGAACAAGACTAGGTTGCACAGCAGGTCTAGGCACAGTGCAGTGTTATGTAGTACAAGACTGTATGCTTAACTGTGTGTTCTATGCTTACTTTTTAGGCTTAGTATAATTAATTTATAGCTTTAAATTTATACGCAAGAGTTTCTAGACTAGATAAAGTCTTCTAGTGTTAGTAGATAATAGTTATAGATCTAATTAAGATTATTTATAATGTAGCATGTTAAGCTTAAGTTAAAGATAAATAATTCTTTTAGCAGATATCTGTTCTAGTTTAAATTAACTATAGCTAGTAATGTAGCTACTTTAACTCTTAATACTTTCTAGCTTTTAAGTTAGTCTTCTTGTATCTTTAGCATAGGTATATGTAAACTTTTTAGGATTAGTATTTTTAAATTATGTCTACGCTGCCCTCTTAGTAGGCCTTAAAATTCTAAGTTATGCTTACACTTTAATGCTATAAGCTTTTTAACTCTCTTATTTAGCATCTACTAGTCTAGTGCTCTGTCTAGATAGACATAGAAGCAGTCCTTTAGTGCATAGATGTGTCTACATGCAGGATATTTAGTGCCTTCTATTTTAGCAGGTTTCTAGCTTAAAGATAACTTCCTGTTATTTTCTTAATAACATTAATGTTAAGGTCTACTTTGTTTTCTTAATATTACAACTTTTGCACTACAGGCGTCTCTATTTGTGCCCTAGGTAGTCTTCTTACTTTTAGTAAAGTATAATAAGTTATTTGTTATAAAAGCAGCTTTATGCTTTCCTGTATATATTAGATAATTTAACATTATATGTTTTTAAAAGCGCTTTATTATTTCTTTTTAATTTATGTTTAGTGCAAACTGTCTGCTTTCCTAAAAGGTTATAGACTAATAAGGGGCAACTTTATTTATAGTAGTTAGAAAGTCCTTTGCTACAGCATTAAACTGCGTTGTTTCTAGAACATTTTGTGTCTCTGCTTCTGTGGCAGCGTAGTCATACTCTGCTAGCTATAGGTCCTATATGCTCGCGTTTCTTAGCAGCTTTAGAGATGTATTATATTAGTTACACACGCGTTCTTGTTTAAATTAGTTGTTAACGCCTACTGTAGCTTTAAGGTTTATAATCCACTGTCTAAGTAGTTAATCTAGGGAACAGCATGTACGCTGCAGATGCGGGCTGACTGTTAACTAGATAAAGACAATAATCTGTTAGAGGCTTAATTGCTCTCTTTTATAATTATGTCTGTTACTCTTGTACTTGTTAGCCTTAATCTTATAGTATTTAATAGCTTCTTTAAAGGCTCTAACACTGCTTGTTAAT